TGTCCATAGTGTTCTCAGGAGTCTTCTCCAGCACCAGCGTTCAAAAGAGTCAATACTCTTCCTATCCTGCTTCTTTAAAGTCCAACTTCCATTTCCATACAGTGTCACAGGACTTGCACGATTCTGATCTTAGAAGTTATAGACACCTCACAGCATTTGAATATCCTTCCCAAGGCCTCCATGGCTGCTCTACCAAGTGCTAGTCTGCAATGTATTTCTTGACTGCTTGTTCCTTTCCTGTTGATGGTGATCCTAAAAGGCAGGAGCTCTCCACCACTTTGATATCTACATTGCTCATTTTAAGGCTGGTTGATCTACCTGTTGTCATTAGTTCAGTCTTCTTTATATTTAGTTTTAGTCCCATTTTTTCCCTGTGCTCCTTGACTTTTACTATTGGAGCTCAAAACCATGCTCATATTTTTCCAATCCAGCTTCCCTTAACATATATTCAGCAGACAGATTGAATAAAGTAGTGAGTTTGCAGCCTTTTCGAACTCCTTTGCGAACCTGGAACCTGTCTGTTTCTCCATGTTCTGTCCGTACTGTGTCTTCCTGACCTGTATATAAGATTATCATGAGGTCAATGAGATGTTCTGGGATTCCCATTTTTCTGAGCATTTTCTAATCAATGAAGTGACTTCTTTTGCTATTCTTTGACTTTCTCAATTATCCAGCTTGCATCACCAATGATGTCTCATGTTCCTTGGCCATTTCTAAAGCTAGCTTCATCATCTGGCATCTCTTTTTCCACGTAGGGCTCTAATCTCCATTGAATGGTCCTAAGCATTATTTGGCTGGCATGTGAAATTAAGGATATTGTAGGATAGATTATACTCGCTGTTCAATCTCTTTTTTTTCGCTATTGGAATCTGGCTTGACCTCTTCCCATATGTTGGCCGCTGTGTTGTTCTCTAGCTTTGGTGGCATAGCTTGGCCAGAACCTTCTCTGATCCTTCTTCTGTTGCTTGCCATATTTCAAGTCAGCCTTCCAACTTGATAATTCTCCAACTGCTGATCTAACTTCATCTTCTAGTACTAGTGGTTCTTGTAAGTAGGGAATATCTTCTAAGGTATCTTGGATGTTCACACCTCTACAGTACCATGTTTCAGCAGACTCCTTCCATCTTCCTTTGACCACCTGGGAAGCAGTTAATATCTGTCCATTGGAGTCCTTTAGCATACCAGTTTGAGGTTGGAACCTCCTTCTGAGTTCAGAGAGCTTTTGAAATACTTTCCCTGCTTTTCCATCCTCAGTGTCTTTACAGATGTGGTTGTAATACTGCTTCTTGTCTCTCCTAACTCTTTGTTGGGTTCCTTTCTGAGATTTTTGCCTTTCTGGGCTTTGGCTTCTTGACAATTTCCATGTTTTGTGGTTCTGACATACAGTTTGCTTTCTTCTCTTTCTTCACTTTGGCAGTCTCTTTTCACATTTATCCTTTATGACTTCTTTAAGTCCATTTGATTTCTATGTACTCCACCTGGTGATGTCCATGTATAGAGGAGTTCTTTTGGTTGTTTGAAGACAGTATCAGCTAAGAAACATGCATTGGAGTGGCAGAAATTGATTGGTTGGTTTTCTGCTTCATTTTGGTTTCCTAAGCCATACAATCTAATTGCATTTTCCTCTTTCATGTTTCCAATTTTGGCATTCCAGCCTCCAATTCAAAACAACACATCTTGCTTGCATTTTCTGTGGATGTCAGATTGATCATAAAATTCATCAACCTCCTCCTCTTATGTATCAGTGGTTGGAGCATGAACTTGAATGATCATGATATATGAAAGGGTTGCCCACTAAATCTAATCAATATTATTCGGTCATTGATTGCATTGTGGGCATATACTATTCTTGCTACACCGTTTCTTCAATTTTCAGGTCCTTGAGTAATAAACACTGTGATCTTGTGACTGAAAGTGTCTGATCCCAGTCCATCTCAGTTCGCAGACGCCTAAGGTGTCAATCTGTAGTCATTTCATTTCATCTTTCACTGGGTTGAGCTGTCCCATGTTCATGCTTCTTACGTTCCATGTTCCCATTGTAATTCTGTCTTTGCAGCTTCACATTTTCTTTTCCTGCATGGCAACATCAGCAACTAGACATCCCAAAGGGTTTAATTTAGCCACAGCATAAATACCATTACTTTTCCAAAAGATCTTCAGCTCTTCCTCAGCAGCATGGTGAGTGCCATCTGACCTGAGGGGCCCATCATCTGGCACCCTTTTGTAATTATTTTATATTTCTTATCCATGTGATTTCCTTGGTAATAATACAGGAGTGGTTTACCAGTGCCTTCTCCTGTGTAGCATGAACTGATACCTTTGCCATTGTCACTAAAGACACCATCTGCTTCTGGCATCTTCCTATATTGTTCCTGCCCAATAGAGGTGCCTGCTTGATTTAGCTGGGCATCAGGGATGACCTCCATGCCTTTGGTGACCCTGTGGGGTCTTGGCACACACTCCCGACATTTTCGCTCATCCCTCAAAGCAAGACCCCACCACCCCGCCACCATGAGAAGGCACACCAGGACTGGGGAGGGGCTTGCAGTTGTACTTACCTGTGTAATTACATTAGGTATACATGTGTTCCCATGTATTAATAATTTGTAAACGGAACATAAATCAAAGATACAGTGATACCTCGGGATACGAACGCCTCTGCTTGCGAATTTTTCGGGTTACGACCAGCTCTGGCCCCAAAATTTTACCTCGGTTGGCGACCTCCGCCTGGGGGTACGAGCCATTTTCCGCCCGTGCCACGTGGTCTGCGGCCATTTTTCCGCCCGTGCCACGTGGTCCGCGGCTGTTTTTCCGGCCCTGCCGCGTG